GTTCACAGAGGACCAGGAYGGAAACCACTTTTCTATCAAAGTCCACAGGAACAAACACAAGATGCTGTGTAGCAGTCTAACGTGCACAGATGAAGTTTCACGTGCTAGCCCAGCAGTATCAACCAGACCTTTAGGCACAAGCCCCATACTCCTTCACATCCACTGTTCCTTAAGTACACATACTCAGGGAACACTCACCTTTAATTTGAGCCACATCATACTCTGTGTTCAGCAGCAGTGTTTGAGGAATAGTGAATGCCTTTAGGAGCCCTTTACAAATGTGCTTAGACAGTTTTCTGAAAGCAAAGCAAGGCTGGGAGGAGGACTGCTTGTTYACCTTGTAACACTGCTCAACTAGCTGTTAAGATTCAGCCAGGGTGAAACTTAACAGTCAGGGCGATTGTTAAATTGTCAGCTTGTATTGATTACTTTGCAATCAAGTTCTGTTCAGCATCCCTTGACCACAGCAGTGAGCAATTTCTTCTCTTATTTTAGCCACAATGGCTCATTTTTATCTCTTATAATAAAATGAAAGGATTGAGCTCATGTGCATTTCTGACTCCCACTCTAGTTCTCTTCTCTAAGGACCTGTTTAACAAGGTCCCTAAACTATGCTGGTGACTTGAATTATTAAATGAGAGGGTATGGAAAAGCAAGGACCCAAAGCTCCCAAAAGGCTGCTGCCACCAGAGAGCAAGCAAAGTCACCCGCCATGGTGCACTAGGGAGACAGAAGACTTAGGCTGACCCAGGTATTTTGATTTCATTTTGCAGGTCTTTTCTGTGGAGGCAAAGCCAAAGCTGGGAGTGTGTGCAGGAGAGACGAGGAACTCCTGAGATTTGGGGCAAGTACTTTGGGAAATGGGCAACCACTTCATGGGAGGCTTCACAGGTATCCACTAAGCTGGAGAATGAGAGCTTTGAACAAGCACTTCTAATAACTCATTGATCTGAACGCAGGGTGCACAAGGGAAGCAGCTGGCAGAGGTTACAAGTAGGAGGAAAGTCACTATTTGTGCAGTGGATTACATGAAATCTCTTCCTAACCAGAGATCTGAGTAGAAAACATGAATTAAACAGTCAAAGCAATCACCTTTTAGGAAACTCTAGCAGTGTTTGATATAATAAAAGCAGATGTAAACATCTGCTGTTTGGATGTAAACATCTAAACTAAATAGAAATACAGATGACAGAAATTTGAGAGTCCATTTAATTGCAGCTTAGTAGTCTTATRCAATAATGTCTTTAATTTTCCTTGCGGTGTTCTGAGTTAAAATATTTGGCTTTGATTGGAAGCATATGTGAGGGGTATATGCACATGTACACTTGATGGCCAAGAGTTGGTGGACTTCAATATTATATTGTATAGAGACTGTGAAACCTGTACAGAAAGACTCCTGCTGTTCTTATGGAGATCACAGGCAAATCAAGACTTGTGCATGTAGAAGGCTCTACTAGAAGTGACTACAAATTGAAGGAGTGGATGCACAGTAACGCACTTGCCTACTTTAAATTGCAGGATTATCATTTGCCCTGATTCATCAAAATAACCAACAAAGCATCCAAACCACCAGACATGTCAGAAATTGCGGCAAACTAAGTATCAACTGGAAAAATAATTCTATTTCTCTTATACATAAGAATAGGTGAAACACCCTACTAGCATCAAAATATTATTATTCTAATATCCTTGGATCTCAGAGTTCTCTAAATTGCTAATTCTAGCTTAAGTGCCTAAAATTGTGTGAAATTTCTAAAGTTACTGAAAATTATAACATCATACTACACATTTCATTTAACTACATATATTTAGATTACCAAATTATCAGTAATAAATGGTTTACCTTGACTGCCTGGCCAAAGAAACAGATTTTAGATTTCAGAAATACAAGAACTAATTCACAATTTATAATGGAACATTTCTTAGTGTAATGATAGCGCTAATGGGCCATATACACATTAACAGGTAAATCATTATATTGTTCTTCAATTTTCTTTTCAKAGAATTTCTGGAATTATACTTGATAAATCACAGCTTTAACTTTACTTAAGGGCAATTTAGACTTGGCTCTCACATTATGTTCTGTAAGAGTTTATGATTTTCCTTTAAGAAAACTTTTTATATTAAGAAAACTTAAAAATAGGCATCGTATCAAGAGAAAAAAACAACTTGAACTGATGTAGTTGCCAGGAAGTGACAATTTCTGTCTAACTTTTTTTTTATCACAGTTACTCATCTCTAAGCTTATCTTTTCTCCTCTCTAACTGTTCAGTACTCACAAATTCATAAATGTTCATATCGCAGAGGATGATGCTTTGATAATGATAGACATCTCTTCAGGTTTTTTTTCTCTGAACTTCCATCAATTAGGCAAGTTTAACGTAGAGAAATGGACAAGAAACAAACGTAAACACCGACTACAGTATAAAATAATGCATGAGCAAGGAACTTGGAGAAAGCAGGGAAAGACCATTTTGCTGAATATATTTCCAGAAACTGTTTGCAGTTTTTCCACCAACATTTGTGCATCTGGTAAAGGAATGGCTGAGTGAGGTTTCTTAGCTAGTTTTATCCCTCTTAGTGCTTTTTAGACCTAACAGTCTGCTAATCTGTGACTGCATTTAATGCCTTTTAAAGTGTTCTCTCTTCTGATAATTCAACAAGAGTGGGGGAACAGCCGCTCTGCTTCATAGTTTGTCAAGTTTAAATAGTTACCTCTGCAGGTAACTGCAGGTTACACTGGGAGGGCTGCTTGTGTTTTCCCAAATCAGTGATTAGTGACCATTTTGCTGCTATAAATTTTTTGCACAAGCAATAATTGACTTTTTTCACTGCAGCATTGCAAGATCAACAAACACGGTCTAGGCTAGTCAGTCTCTTTCAGTGTCTAAAATAGTTTATATCCTTCCTCCTGCAGAAATTAATCATTATTAATTCCAAATTATTCTCCTCATTTGCCAGAGAGTCTCCTTGCTCATAGCATTGATGCAGTTTCAACGTAAAGATAAAGGAGTTGGATTGGAGGTTATGGTACAGAAAGCAGAGCTTGGCCACAGGGACTGARTAAGAGTTTTGTATGGATTTGGTGCCACCCAAAATATCCAAATTTTCATCCAGCACTTAGGAGCCCACTAAAAAAAGCACACTTATAAAAGAATTCTTCCTCATAGGCCATTATCCGTGTCAGGTCTGCCTCACCTGTCCTTTTCCCTTAGCACATATTACCATATTGGTAATTACCAGCTACTTTCATACCACCACCTAAACAGAACAAATTCATTTGCTTAGTGACTTGACATTTACACTATAGGTTGAATATAATACTTGCTCCAAAAAAAAAAAGACTAAAATTAAACTTCAGCCTGAGAATATTGAACATTGATTCCAGTCAGTGACTTTATTTGATATCACAGTAAGTACTGAGTGTATCATAGAAAAGATTGACCAATATTGACTGACCAATACTGCTGCATTTGTCCAGCAGTATGACCTGTTTCTGTTAAATACCCTGTCCTGCAGTCACAACTGCTGAGGCACCACAAAAGTGCAAAAGACAAGAGCCTTCAGTCTTCACTCTTGGACTCCATTTGATCTTAATAAACCCCAAACTCCAACTAGCACATTAACTACACYTAAAGATGCGAGTTTTATTTCTTGAAGGTTGTTTCTTATTTCTTGAAGGTTTAGATATTTACAACACTTTGTATAATGAAGCTATTTCAATATTCAGAGGCAACTTAAAAGAAAAAATGTTTCTACCCAAGAGGCTGGTAGTAATAAAGAATTTACAAAATAAATAAAAAAACAGCAGCATAGACCCTATGGTAATGGAAGTCAGCATAAACTTGGGGAGGTCTCTGGTTGGCACAACTCAAGTGRCAAGATGTGTGGCATCAGAAAATGATGAAAACATCTGCTCCGTTGGATGCTCTTGAGATTCCCAGGGGCAACATGGTTCCCAAAGTACATAAWCTTAAACTGAGCAATGGTAGGATTAAGAGCAAGTATTCAAAGGCATATCGCAGAGTTCTTATAAACCCTAACCACAACTTAAAAGTGACTTTTCAGTGAAGCAAACCAACTTTACCCTGAAAGAAAGCAGATGGCAGAGACTTCCTTTCCCACAGCCTGCTTGAATTTCTATCCAGTGCATAGGGGGTGCAGATGTTGCCATGATCAATGCATCTAGTCCTCTAAGTGATGTAGGGTACCTGTAGATTTCAATCAAATATTTTCCTTTTATGGTTGATACACTGTGTAGCATTTATGTCACACCTTTTGAAGCTTAGTATTTCAAAATTCTTCAGCTAAAATAATTCTGCCGTTTCCTTGCTTCCAAAGCAACAAGCGGAACGCGTGTTTATTCATTTGTAACATCCTGACAGCAGCTTTTAGAGCAAAAACAAGCCAAATATTTGAAAGGAGTCATTGATGTTCAAGGGTTTAAGAACACACTGCTTTTCTCTGATAAGTCGCAGTTAGTTACATTTACACCAAAAGTCTATATTGAAAATTTAATTTGGCTGAATTACACACAGCAGGTGCATAACGATGGCCCCTGCAAATGCTGCTTTAACATAAACTTCTTTACCTACACTCTCAAGAGGGAAAGTATTGATATCTTCTCTAGAATTGTGATATTGCACTTACCTACATATCCTGGCAGCAATGATGAAACAGCCCCAGAGATGCTGATTCTGAAGATAACATTAACCAAATCATGTCAGAGCTAAGAGTGTTAACCTGAAAGGACTTACCTGCATTTGAATTTGGAAAACAATTATCACTGCTCCTATGTCTTTCAAAAGAAGTGCTTGAACCTTACACGGTAACTGATACTAAGCTAAGTACCATTCTGTATCATACAGATATATTTGTATTGCAATAGCAAACACTCGCTGCCTGGAAATCACTCTCTCATTTTAATAGTCATTTTAACAAAGAGGTGAAAATAATCTTTCCCAAGGAAAAGAATAAAAACCAAGGAGAAAACTACTCACATTCCTTTGAGCCGTTGCCACATTTTCTCTGCATGTCCTCCCATTTGGTACTTTATAGAGGTGCTCTCCAGGTCCCGAGTGGAGTCCGTAGCTCGAGCCCCCATGGTTATTGCCCTACAGCAAGACAGCCAGAGTCAGGCTCAGCAGCAAGGAAAAGCATTCCTCATTCCCTACCAATGCGAGGAGATCCACAATCGTTACAGGCTCTCGCCCATCAGAGCCCATCGGAGCTATAACAGCCGAGGGAAGATTCTGCCTGAATCGCTGCTCACTTTGACAGACAGATCCACTCTTTGCTCACACACACAGAGCAGCACAAGCAGCTCCTCTCCTCTCACAAGACTAATCCATCCATGTGAGCCAGCTACTACGGTACAGACTGACTGACCGCCAAAGCTCTTCTCTCATGCGCTTGGTCTGTTGTAGGAATGTACTCAGAAGCACAAAAGAGTCTTTAAAATGGACTACGATTCATTGCTATGCAGGAAAAATGTGAGTGGCTTTAGCAATCCAGACAGAAAGGCAGGTTGGAGACACAGGCTGCAATAGGAAAGCAGATGGTAGAAGCTGTTACCAGTCTACAAAAAGGGCGCATGTTTTAAATGCCACAGCTTTCCTCTCTTTCGCTGATTCTGAACTGATTCCTAATGAATAAATATCAAGCAGCCTATCAGCGAGAATATGACTGAACAAATGCAAAGTCAGTACTGAAGTCATGCATAAATCCCTGCCGAAGCAGAATCAGAGAGCTCTACAGGTTGTTAGGGGAGGCACTCGCCGTAATGATGACTATTCACCTTCTCCTAGCAACTCTACACAGTAGGTAACTGTCAATTTAATCAGTGGGAAATGCAGCAGCTGCAAGACAGCCTGCTCGTGAATCCTGCAGGACAGCAGTGCCCGTGGCGAGCCCGACGCCGAGCTGCTCGCGSCTGCCAGCGAGCGATTCCGCGCGCSCAGCCGGCGGCRGGCTTGGGGACAAGGTGGCCCCCCAACCACAGGCACCCAAGCTCCAGGCTGCACCGTTAGGGCTGCTTTCTAGGGGGGATCTCACCACTTGCTCAGTTCCTAGCTGGGGTTTGCAGAGCAAATCCTGCTCTTTGCATAGCACCCGTCTCCACTGTGAGTCGGTACCAACCTGCATTTCCCAAGCAGCAGCCAGATAATGGAGCATATCGCACTTATCTTAGGGATCACGCCTCTTTCAATCATACTAAGAGCTGTGCGAGCAGCCAGGCAGCAGAGGAGTGCCAAATGGGAGTAAATATGTCTAAGCCCTGCCAGCTACTGCGCTCACTGCCAAGCAAGAAAAGGGGCCGTAGGTTCGTGATGAAATGGTGGAAAGGGCCTCCTTGGATGCTGCCTGGAAGGAGCCCGAGGGTATGTGATGCATTTCCCAGTATGACTTGAGCTTGAGCTGTATTAAATGTTATAAAGATGTGAGAGGAGGAGAGATTGCCCTCTCTGACACAACCGCAGAAATGGGCACTACTGTTCGGTGGTCAGGCTCGTAGCAAAAAATTCACTGCTTTGAAACAACCCTAACATTCCTCAGAATTTTCTAAGCAGTTTTCTTCTGCTAGGATACGATTTACAATATCTCCTATGGGAGTTAAAAGCCTGCATTAGATGTGCAGATATGCAATGATTTCAGCCAGACAATTAAACAACACGTTTCATTTACTTCTACCCGTTCTAAATGGGTAATTTTCCACAGAATTGCACAGAACTTTTCCTGCCTCAGATCTGTACGGATCAGTCCTGTACATTCCACTAGCAACATGTGAGAAACAGACACTAGAGGAGCCACATCTTTTATAATTTTCAAAGAGCGTCATAAGACAATAGTGAAGAGATATAAACAACAGATTTCTCAAAAACTGCAAAGCATTTCTTTGCTTAAAGGAGACAAAASTAACTTTCAGACTTCCCTGAGGAACCACTTAGGACCTTCCAAACTTTCCACTGCTGTTACACATGGAATCCCACTAAAGTTTGTAAGAAATATTATATGTATATATCTTTCCATGGAATAACTAATGAGAATATCATACTAATCTGTTTTATTCCCTTTTAACTACTAGACATCTGAAGCAATGCAAGGGGAAAAAATGCATTTATGTAAGCCACAYAAACCCCCAGGGGCAGAAGGTATTTTTAAGATCCTGGGGTTTTTTCCTATTTACTTGCTGTTGTGCAATTCTGTAAGGAAAAAATAGTAGTGTGTGCAAGCTGTTCTCTCCCCCACAAGCAAATAAGTAGTGAAAATACATCATTTTGGCTTACTGGGGGGGAAGTATTATGAGCTGTTAATATCCTTAATATCCTATCAGGAATTGAGGCTGAGCTGCCTGGCTCAGAAACACGTCTGTGTCCCTGTGGTCCACACTGGTTGGACGATGATCCAGGGCACTAAACAATGAGCAGTCGTTTCAGGAACTGACATTAACTAGAAAGATGATGACTGAAAGGATAAATTACCTCAAACAGGTCGTATTTGGTCACTTCCCCTTCTTGTTCTGCTTTCCCAATTTGACCTGGCCAATCCAGTATTCCCRCTAGGGACCAACAAACCATAGTAGAGTTCATTTTCCTCCTATAAAAATACATTTTTTTGTCATTTGCCAGACTTTTTTCTTTTTTTTTTAATTTGGAAAAAAAAAAAGAAAGGAAAGACTCAGTAAGTAAATACAAAGATATAATAAAATAAGAATAACTATTTTGTTCACCCTTAACTAAGGCAAAAATAAAACTGCCCCAATGCCTCTTAATCCTCAGATAGGAAACTGCACTAAATGGCAATTTTTCCTTGTTAATCAAAATTGCTTCCCTTCAGTAAGAATAACTATCTGTCTCATATGCAAAGAAGTAATTTCATTTCAAAGTCTACCCAATAGCAAAGAAAGGCTACATTTTCAGTGCTGAATAACAGTAGACATTTATAGCCGTACCAAAATCAAACAGTTAAAATGAAAATGTCTTCCGATCTTAAAACTGGGAAAAACCTGCAGCCAGACCAATAACAGATCGGCTGGGAAACAGGAACAGGGGCTAGGGCAGCTTGTGAAGAGGAAAAGAGCTTTATTTTAAGTAAATCCCTTGCTTCTGAGGCGAAATTAAATATGCAGTTTTGTTTGAAATTATCTTCAAACACAAAACTCACAAGTAACATAGAAAAAGGAAATAACAAGAGGCCTGCAGTGTAATATCTCATACCAATACTCATCCCTCCAAACTTGACAACATAAACTTTTTTAAAAAAAAAGAATTAGAGAGATGCTTTCTGTTACAAGTATAACTCTTAGATGTTGTGATCATACATGTATTATTGACCTACAACTATTAAACTTCTGCTTATTTGCAAAGCTTCAAAATGTGCATTTTTAGTGCTCTGCTTTCTACTTTTTTTTTCTTTTTTTTTTNTTTTTTTTTTTTTTTTTTTTAAATCAAGGATGTCTGTAACTCCCAGTCTCTTGTCAGCTTTGTGACTACTGGGGATAATCACTTGCATAGTGCAGTTGCTTTTAACATAACTGCCCTCAGCAGGCCCAGAAATTTCTCTTGATATAAAAAATATCAGAACTTACAATTTTCTAGAGACTTCATGTTACACACGCAGTCTAAYGGTTTTGCGTTGCTCTTTGTCTATATTTTTCCAGTTTTCATTTCCAGTTACTGGCCTTGGATACAACTGTAACTCTGTATAAGTACTGTCTCATTTGAAAGGCTGGCTGATGTCATCAAACCTTATGCCTCTACTGTGTCTCCATTTTTTAAATTCTGAAAAAAAAAAAAAGGCTTTACATTTGCACATCAAAAGCAAGAGGGAAGTGGAAGGAGGAAACAGGCATGCAGAAACACATATATTAGTAGAGTACATTCTCAGATTTCCTTCCTAGTCCTTAGGGTCATCTCGCTGTGACCAGACAAAGCAGTTGAAGCTGAATCTACTTGTCCATTTTGCTCTAAGGTGGAGCTCCCTTGACAAARCCTTGATTTGTCTTGCCTCCTTACCACCACTTATACTTACACAGACACAAATTGAAACTCCAGAGATTGATATAAACACAAAATAAGTACTTTGTGTTTATACTTTTGTTTTTTCCCCTACAAAATAAGTACTGAAATCTTCACAAATGCAGTTTTGGTTTCCATCTGCACATGGACCGTTCCAGGCATTTTCCCCAAAAGAGGACAAACTGTTTTACCAGAATACAAGACCATGAAACCATGTTTTGTCTGATGCTGTTTAATTATCCTAAAGTATAAGTAATGTCACTGATAACTTAAAATTCTATTTTCCTGTAACTGCATTCTTTTACTTTTTGTGTGGTCTGCACATTTTCCAGATTTGAATTCTCGTCCTGCAAATACTCACCAAGATATGGATAGGGATTCCCACAATGTCATTAAATTGTTTAATCCCTTTAGTGTGCTTTTTGTGCCCGAATATTAGTGAGTGATAATCTATCTATTCATGTGTCAGGAAAGGAAACTGATAAATGCATTAAAAGACTATAAGCGGGTCACCTGTTTTCCACTCATCCATGCAGCAATTCATGTCACAATATGCTAAGAACAGAATTAAATCAGGTATTAGTCTAATTAAAGTTTTCTGTGACTATTCTGAGATAAATGTATTTTCCGGACACACTAAAGGATTAATTTAATTTAGTTTAAAGTCTGTACATCCGGCTCTGGTAGTTTTGAAGAACCACAAAATGGTACTTTCTTTTTAAGTACAACACTGCCAAAATGATCTTAATGAAAAATTAGAACACAGCCTTCTTTAACAATGCTCAGTGTATTTACACCAATGCATTCTCATATCATGTGAAATGCCTTTACCCTTCAAAAAGTTCTGTTGTGAACTCTTAGACTCTTAGATCTAGTTGTAATTAATTCACTGCATTTTAAAATAGAAAAAAAAAAACAATAATCCAGTATAGCAAGGCTATTCACCACTATTTCATACCTTAAGGAGACTCAAATACAAGCAAGTTTTGCTTAAATGAAAAGGATATATAGGGAAATCAGAATACATACAATATATAAAAGAATGCAGCAGACATTATTATATTTCTGCTCACACAAATAAAGTCGTAAGATAAAACAACATAGGGGAAGCAGACCAGGGCAGAGATGATCAGGGCAAGCTGGAGGCAAGAGTACCCAATACATTTGTTGTCAGCTTACCTTGATATCAAATTCAAAGATATTTTTGTGGATTGTTTCTATTTATGTACTTAGAGGGGCTTTTTTAATAAAAGGAATTACCAAATGTTGTAATAACTACTCTCTTTTTAGAGGAAAAGATATTTTTCTGTTCACTACAAAGCATCAAGGAGTATTTTAACACAAGACACTGAAATACACTTCCTACCCTTATGGAGCTATTTTCAATTGTATTACATTGCAAATAATGGAATTAAATAACTAAAGAACTTTAAAAAAGTGAAGAACATATGAATCTGGTCTAAGTTGCCTAACATTTGGTCTTTTTGTTAGAGATGGAGCTACTGGTACTGGCAAGCATGTGCTAGAAAACTGAATATACAGGGAACCTCTAACAAAGATCCAAGAAATGCTYCCCAGGTCCTCCAAGGCTACCTGATTAATATGCTATCTAGAGTAAAGTCAATCATAGAGACATGCAAGGAATTAAAAAAAATAGGTGAATGCAACCTTCATTTTCAAAATATTCAAACTTTACAAAATCAATATTCACTGTAAGTCAGTGTAACTGTAATTGTATGAATATTGATTGAGTGCATAGTACAACGGTATTGCAATATGCACAATATTATCTGACTTAGAATGAGTCTATTCCAAACCACTGCACTTCATGGAATTGATATATCACTTGAAATTTCAGTGCTGCTGAAATCGGAAGGGCCAGTTCTTAACATATGCTGCATTTTCACCTTGGATTTCCAGTAAAATGGATTCCAGCCTTCAGTTTTCAAACATCTTAAAGGATGAGTGGAGTATTAAAGTGATGATAAAAACTGGCAGCACATTTGAAAAATAGTTCAACAGTCTAGCATGCAAAAAGTTTAATGACAAGAGCAAAACTCARCTGACAGTCAGATGTTTAGTATCACTTGAACATGTTTAATATCACTGGAATATGCAAGTTCAACCAAAGTGTAAAGGTAAAGTTTAGGTAAACTGTAAAGCTGTAATGACAAAATACCTCTGTCAAGTTTTTCATCTCAACCCATGATTTGGCATAAACATTTTCACGTGTATTTTCCAATAGAAAATATGAAGAGAGAAATACATGAACTCAAATGAAGAGTTTGGTTTTAAAATAAAACATCTGTGTCTTTTTCAAATATTAGATTGCTTAAAATGAGAGATTCTAAAAGCATAATTTAATTATCCTGCATTCTCAATTTATATATTAACAACCCTTGAGCAATTAAAGGTTAAATATACATTGGAAAAGAGATTTTAGTAAGGGTCAGCAAAATGTGCAGGTTAAAAACTGGGGCCAGAAGAGAATTGGAATTATTCCTAATTCCAGCACATAACTGATAGAGCAATACATCAGCAAAAAAATGACATCCATAGGTCATACAGCCAGCTTTTTACACCTCAAGAATAGCTAGAACTTCTCTACCACAGACGATTCTCATTAAGATGCTTTTGCAGCTGACATTATTCCACTGCCACTAATATATTCTCCAGCGCTAACAGGAAAACATCATTACTCCATCCCTTATCTTATCCACTTACTTTGAACCATCACAATACCMAAGTCTAACTTTTGATAGGGCTGGTGAAGTTGCATTAAGGATAGATAGGATAAAGACTTGTACACAAAAAGTGATAAGGAAGAGCAAGACATACTCATCTTAGCTCACTTAGATCATTTAAGAGGCTTATTTTTCTCTGGTTTATATGTTTATTTGTCATCATGATTTACGTTATCATTTGCTTGAATGTGCTTCCTGACAATAAAAATGATATGAACAGATTAGAGAAAGTCCAGAAGTGAACAAGAATGATTTGAGGATTTGTCAGATGTTATGACACAGGAAAACAATGAAAGAAATGTATTGTCCGTTGAGAAACTGGAAGATTTGTTAGATGTAATATTTTTTACTTTTATATATTGGATTATAATATTAAAATTCACGGTACCCAAGGTGTAGTCAGGAGTAATCATTTTAATTTGTACCAAACACAGTTCAGTCTAGAAATTAAGAAGCCGTATCTAATTATGATAGTTAAGCCCTAAAGCTCGATACCCAGGGTGATAATGGAATATTTCACCACGGCTTACAAAAAGAACAGACAAAAATCAGAAAATTCATAAGTGTAGATGGTCCCTTGTGGTTTTTTCCTATTTCCATATTTTTAATCTTGATTTTGAAAATAAGTGTTTTATTAACTTTAAGATTAAGATATTCAAATATATACTCTGAATAAAAAGATGGCAGGTGGGTCCCACAGAGAAGCAATGGGAGAGCACATTACAAGCACAACACTTAGCTCCTCACGGGGATTCTCATGATTGCTAAACTCAGATTATCATTTCCATTAACAAAATCCAGTCATTTTCTAGTGAAGAGAGAAAATGGTTTTMAAAATAGTCATGCTACTAATCTATTATTCTAGAAGCTCATCAGCAACAAATAATCTTTTGCATTTCCCTCAAAAATTGAAATATATCTGATTTTGATTCTTCAGAAAGCATCTATTGAAACTAAKGCATATATGTACATGTTTTGTGGTCTAAGAGGAGTATACTTTCAAGTGGTCAGCTGTGTTGTTTAACACAGCAGTAAACTAGATAATTTGACTAATTCCATATCCCTTTCAGGAACAATAGTATGAGTGAACAATAATTTCTTTACCAAACACTAAATTTTAATTCTAAAAATTTCCATAATGGATTATAGTAATATGGAATCCAACTTGTCTCTAAATTGTTCCAGTGCTTATTTTTTGCTAAAAGTCCACCTAATTTCCAAGAGTTATATCCAAGAGTAATAGTTCTTTTAACAATGTGGGGTTTTTTTTTTCTACATTTTCATCTGTTGCCATTTACCCTCTTTCATTGCTATGCATTACATTCCATGTTCGTACTACAGATTATATCCTAATCATTACTTAAACTTGTTGATAGACAAGAAAAGAGTTCTTCAAATATCTAACAAAAGGTGCATTTGCCATTTTTACAAGATTGATATAATTTTTCTTGTTAAAATAACTTCATTGGGAAATATACTTTTGTGTGTCTGCTGAGTTCCCGACAGTCCTTTGCTGTTTCCAGTTCAATTTTTCTTTCCTATCACAGCTATTTTTTCTGAAGTAACCTTAGTTCATTAGAAAGATTCATGCAAAAGGGATTTTCTCTTATTTTTTAAATAAGTACTAGCTAGCAGAAATATCATGCTTGATAGGTTCAAACATGGGTGGGCTCATCCATTAGATTATTTCTGTGAATTTTAATAAAGGCAAATAAAATGCAGACAAATTTTCTCTTAAAAATATTTGGCTGAATTACTATGTAAAAGCTAGCAAAAGAAGACTGTTACTTCAGAACTCTTTTAACCATTTTTGCAACGTGGCCTTTTCTGTTGCTTGTTGTTTTGTTTTATAGAATGCAGTACATTAGGACAGGAAAAATATTTACTACTTTAGGGAAAGATGCCTGAAGGGAAATAATTCCAAAAGACATAAAAAAAGTTACCAATACCAATCTAGTCTGAGGTAAGATTTTAAGTAATGTAAAATTTCATTCCAAGCCACATTGTTTTCCACTAAAT